TTGCCTCTAAACTGCTCAAGCCGAACGGCCTACCCATGTCCAGCTCAATCAGTGCAGCTAGGGTGATCCCCAGTCATTAACATCTCTAGCTGTTCCCTAGAACCCAGTCAGTTAAACGCCACTGCTGTTTCTGCTCATCCCCTGTCAATGGGGACATCTCTCCTCTTTACCTGGCAACACTATTTCTGATGACTTGACTAACGTGAACCAAAACATTTCGTATATTTTATAGGACTTTCTTTTTTTAGTCCCGCTGTGTGCAGCACTAAGAGATAAATGTGTTAAACACCATCTAACCTGCTGGAGCAGTGCTAGCAGTCTGAGATAATGCAACCCCCCCCGACACACACACACTCTCCCAATTCTACAGCCACCCATTTCCCCAGCCCCCCCTCCCCCCAAACAGGCAGCAACCAGGTTAGATCCTGCTGGTGTCAAATATCATCTGTGATCAGACGCCAAGGTGGTCTGACTGCATAAGGGGTGAAATACAAGATTAATTTGTTCCAGATCCTCAGGGAGACACAAAACAACAGCATTTGTGCTGTGTAAATACAAACAAAAGGCAGCCTAAATGACGTTTCACCAAAAGGGGTCAGCTAGAAACCACAAACTCCTGACTGTCTAGAGGATCCACTGCGTCCACTATCTGTCTGGCTGGTCTCTGACTCGCCACAACCTTGTACTGGATTCAGCGGTCATTGAAAATGGATGGAAGGATCTCTTAATCCTTCCAGTAAGAATGGAGAAACCCTCACTATTCAATGATTACAGCACCTGCAGCTCCTTTAATGCCTCAGTTGCATCCGTCTTCAACTGCACTTTTTTATTTCTTGTTCTTGTCTTTGCTTTTATTGTTCTACCATCACCACCTTCATACTGATGCTTCTCCAGACAGGAAAAAAAAGGCTGTAACCGTGATATTTCTTAAACACCCTGCCAATATCTGTTTTTCTCCGTCACATGGCTGAGCTCATGAAAAGTGGATTACGGAGGCAGATCAACCGTCAGGACTCATTGTGCTCCTGGGCATCTGTCAACAGCTAGGTGGGGGAAGGGGTTGGATTCTCGAGTAATCTGGCTCAGCACAGACTCTGGATTAATCTGGATAAGTCAAACCAAGGCCTAGGGAACCTGAGCTTGGGTCTGACTGAAAACCCTGAGAGGTCCTTCAACTTAAAAGTCTTTCTTTGCCATTGAATCAAACGTGATAGTCGACAGAATCATTTGATTTCGTTTTAACTCAGAGTTTCAGGTGGCACAGCGGTTCCCACTGCTGCCTCACAGCACTGGGACTTTGGGCTCGATTCCAGACCTGGAGTGCTGTCAGTGTGAACACAGGTTTCGCATGTTTTGGTGGGTGCACAGTCCACCTCAATCAGTGGCAGGTTAACTGGCTTCTGGAAAAGGTGGTCCTGGTGTGTGTCTGTGTGTGCGCGCCCAGTGGTAGACTGGTGTCCCATCCATGGTGTGTCCTGCCTTGCGCCGGTGATGCTTGCTGGGATAGGCTCCGGCTTCCCCCTGACCCTGAATCTGATTACGCAGTGAGAAAATGGATGGATGGGCTCACTCTCTACTCTTACCAGCAGAGATATGGTGCATTGCTCTCAGAAAACAAACGAGTGCCATTCCATGCATCATAGTAACTTAGGAGTCTCCAATTCTGGTCCTGTGGGGCCATCGCGTCTGCAGGTTTTCTGGGTTTCAGCAGTTATTAAAATCGGTCCAGTTAAGAAAATAAAGAACAAGTTTAGGACATTAAGAGCCAAGCTGTAATGACAGCCAACATGCACACTAGCATACCAGCTCTCCCGAACTGGATTTCCTGGATTAGAAACTTGTCTTTTCACATACTCCAACTTGCTCTCCATGAGAGACATGGACAGGGAAAGAAGCTTGGGGTCAGAGCACAGGGTCAGCCATTTATATGGCGCCTCTGGAGCAGTTTGGGGTTAAGGGCCTTGCTCAAGGGCCCAATGGAGTAGGATTCCTCTGCCGGCAGCCGGATATAAACCAGCAACCTTCCAGCTGCAGGCACAGATCCTTAGCCACAGAGCCACTGCAATGCCCTTTGGATAGCTACTATCCAAGAACAAACAGAGGGTTAACTGTCTTACTTGAATTTGAAGCACACTGCATATTTCTGCATTAGTCACTGCTTGTTTATTGTCTACATGAGTAAAATGAGACTTTGCCATTTAAATAGTGTTACACCCTCATTATGGAATCTCATAAAGACTCAGGTTAAAGTAGCATACTGTACATGAGAACTGTCAACAGAAAGCTTGCAAGACATAATTCTGATTCAGCAGCTGTGAGATGAGAAACAAGTCTAACTAGTTGTTGCACATTTTTTTCTTAGACCACTTTATCATTTAATAGACTAAAGTTAAATGACTGCTGAGATTTTAAGGAATCACAACCATTCCTTTCTTTCACCACCCATACACCTCTCACAAAGAACATTCTCTACATGCCTACAAAGTTTAGAAAAACAGCTAAGGGTGTGGTCTCATCGTGCCCTGAGGATGCAAATCTGCAAAGACTGTTTATAAAACAACACACTCAACCTTTATAATTCAGGGCCTATTTTAACAATGTTTTGCATTTTTCAGTGCTAAGAAGGATACTACAACAAAGACCAACAGTGACCCCTTGTGGATGAACTTACAAACTAGAGATTAATTCTGAAGTTGCAGCAGAGTGAACCGCAGCCTCTGTGAAAGAAATCCATTTTGCACAATCAGTTTTAAGGTTTTGAGAACATTAAGAAAAACATAAATTCTGTATGTCTTTAAAGACATAGGCAGAAAATCCTGTTCTTACTAAGATTAATATTGAAAGAAAATGTGGGCTAAACATAATTTTTGGGGATCAAGTCATGAATGTGCACATGTAGCTAGAACATTCTATAGCGTAAAGGAGGATAGGCTAAATTTCAATATTTCACTAGCAAGTAAGGCTGAAAAGGAAGAACCTACCCTTTTTAAGATCAATTAAATATAAATCAATATCAACCATGGGTAGATCAATTAAAAATAAATATTCCACCTTACAGATATAGTACAACACTGACAAACTCATCAGATTGGCTTTCAAGGTTGAGACAAAATAAAAAAAAAAGAATTGCTTTCATTAATTGATTTAGATAAGATCTTGAAGGCCTTACTGGCCACTAAGCCCTAAAACAGCATTATCAGAACGTGGGACCCATTCTCACATTAAATGTTAATGTTACACCTAGCAAAAGCTGGTCTGCAAAACAACTTGCCTCATCCCTTTACCTCACTGGTGATGTACAGTGTCAGTGTGATTTCACCTCAGGAGTCACACTGATTTTCATAAAACCTCTTCCTTGACTCCTTTTGACTTTTGACCAGCACTGGCTTCTTCGACCCTTAGAGAAATCTTTTTTTTTGCATAATGCTATCTGTCCTTCACTCTTTCATATGCAGCACATTTTTCCAAGAGCTATCACTTTGCGTTTTCTTTTTTTTCCCCCATAGCTTTTTATTCCCACCCCACCCCCCATCTTTCCAGGCACAAGCCCACCCACAAAAATGAAAAGTTACAAAGGTTTCTCAAACATTCTCATGTATATATACCTGTAAATACCTCACATCAAATGATCTTTCCAAATTGCTGCCAATTTTCTTCCAGTTGCTAGAAAGAAAATTGTGAGCACAAATTACCAGCCATCTCAGGGGCTGGAGTAAGCCATGAAAATACTACTGATGTTTAAAAACATTAAGAAGAAAATGAATAAAGCACCAACTCTTTACCCCGATATTAAAGAGTGCAGGGCTACATCAGTGTTTGGCATACAGTATGTATGTTGTGTCAATTTTGCACTTTACAAATCCATTCAAACCCAATATCATTTGACACCAAAGGGAAATACATTAATCCACCTATAGAAATTCATAAAATATTTCTGATATTTTAGGTTCTGTTATCCAATACTGATCAATTGGAACATAAAAATGAAATTTCCATTTTCTTACAATTCTGATATAAAACATCATCAAAGAACAAATAAAAATTACAGCATTTGACAAACTTTCCAATCAGTCATGCTTGAGTTCTCCCACACCGCACCATAAAGCCATTTCTGCGATTGCTTTATATTATGTCAAATTACATTTTATTGAGTCTGTGCTGCCACCTGGTGAATAACCAACACTAAACAAACACCAGTATTTGTGGGAAATAACACTAACTTTGAAAGATAAGATTTCTCCAAGACCTCTTTGTCTCCGTGCTGTAGACACAGGCATCTACAGAGGGACAAGTTGCATTTTAAAGCATGTTTTGAGAAAGAAATGTTAACATTACATTATGTATACGGCACTCACCAGGAAATATAAGAAACATATCTCATCAAATTGAATTTGACAAAAACTAATCCACTTCACTCGAGCAATCTCACCATTCACCTAAGCTGTTGGGAATCTTAATACTGATTTAATATTTTAATCAATCTTAATATTAATATCGACACAAACTATGCCATGATCTCCATGTTTCAGCTAGTACACAGTACGTAGGTGTACAGATGCAGGCGGCATGCTGGTGCAGTGGCTTGCACTGCTGTCTCACAGCACCGGGGGCCTGGGTTAATTCCTGGGGTGCTGTCTGCATTGAGGTTGTATCTTCTCCCTGCGTTTGCATGGGGTTCCCTCCCACAAGCCAAGGATATCCCAGTAGCTTAACTGGCTTTGGGGAAATTGGGCTCTGATGTGTGTGTGTGTCCCTGTGACAGACCTGCATCCTCATCCAGGGTGTATCCTGCCTTGCGCCCGCTGACTCCCGGGACAGTCTTGGGGTTAGAAAATGCATGGTCGTCAAGTGAAACCCTTCGCCTGCACTGGCAGACCAGAGAGCAACAGATGCAAGATACAAACCCTACTTCTCAGCTGAGGTGTTCCCAGCAGACATGACACTTACCCGCACGAAACTGTGAAACCAAGCCAACAGACAAACAGCCTCTCCCGACCTACCTCATACCGGAAGGTGGCATCCCGAAGCAGCTCTGGAAGCATCCTCTCACCCAGCTCTCTGCTCGGCGCGTCGCTCACAAAGTGGAGGACCAACACCTCCCCGTCCGCGAAGCCGCCGTGCGCGGCCATGGACCTCAGGGCGACCCGGAACTTCTCCTGCAGCCCCCGGTTTCGGTCCACTTTAGTGAACATCATCAGCGCGTGGTAGTACAGGTCGGGGTGCCCGGCCCCGGTGTCCGAGGACAAGTCCGCATCGTTCCTGTTGGCGTTGAGGCTCGCCTGGGTCTCCTTGAGGCGCCTGGTCGTGCTGGAGAAGCTCTGACGCTCCGCTCCGAAGTAGTAAAAAGCCACGACGGCGAGCGCCGCTGCTAGCAGCAGCAGCAGCTGGTAGGATCGGAAGGCGCTGGCCCTAGCCATGGTGTTTGGGCTGGACCTCAGGATGCCCATGGCCCTGCCAGAGAAGACCAAACATCCTGTTTAAGCCCCGCACTGCCACAGCTGGGGGGAGTGTGGTTTCCTCTGCACTCGTGTGTGGCTTTTCTTAGCTCAAGGGAAGAGCCGTGCTCATCTCAGTTTTAAAGCTTACCCTCGGCGATGACTCAAGACGGACAGGGCTCCGATCAGACACTCAGTATTTTAATTCTCTGCAAGGCTGAACTGCTAAGGGACTGACTCCTTCTTTTGGCATCGTCACGCGTTTTCTCCAAACCACTGCGAATATTAAAGTATTTCCCCTCTTAAACTAGGTTTTAAGAAACAGACCTTAAAATCCCCCTAGAAAGCCAGGCAGGGAGTAAATAGCTCACAGTGGTGATTCGCCTCCATCACATTCATCGTGGGGGAAAATGAAACCTGCGAAAATAACTCGAGTAACTGTTTTTAGAGGTTCCGGACTGTACGGATGACACAACAGATAAATAAACCGGAGGGCTGATATAAAATCAGAGCGACCACGAGCGAATGCCGAGACCGATAGGCAATTCAGCATCACAGTTATCAATCACAGACATAAAAACGCACCGCAAATAACTTACATTCATTTGAAGTGTTAACTCGTAATACACCTCTATGCGCAACATGCGAGTTTATATTCTGTACTTTCGACAGCGCTTATCAATAACCTACAGTTTTGGGGAGGGAAAAAAGCCCACTACATTACCTTCATGCTTTCAGCCATGTTGAAAATGCATGAAAACTACCTTTCCCTAAGAAATCACTTCCTACACCTCCCAGAATTCGCCTGGCCGCGTCCAGGATTAACCCTTTTATTGCGGCATCCCGTGGACGCAAGTTTTAAAACTTTTTTTATGGATAAGAATGCATTTAACTCTTTTGCTAATGACTTACAACGCACTAGAAGGTTTTTTAGACTGTGTAAAAGTGTACAAATATTTGCAGTATGTTTCCCGTTATGACGGTTGTTGAGTGCTCCGCCTTCCACAATAAACGCATAAAGAATTTTCATGTAAATCTTTCATCTACACCCACGATTAAATCATAGTCAAATTAACAGCTTTACTAAACTTTAGTGGGGGGTTTTTCCTAACCCGTGTTTTCACGTATTATTCCGAATACTCTCTGTGTGATTGCCTTACGGGGTCTGGATTGTAAACCCTACCAATATGGCCGCCATTTCACACTCAACCCAGAGTCGTTTACACAGGATGGACCCCTCTATATCGCTTTTATATCTATGGCTCTTACGCTCGTGCGTGCCGTGGCTGCTGTTGGTTGCCAGGTGTTCTCTGGAAGCGTCTCGTGCATCGATTGTTGCTATCCTTTATAAGCAAGATATGTATCCGTTTGCGTCAAGCCTGAAATGAATGTTAACGCGTTGAATTCACTGACTGAATTGTCCTTTCATTGATATCGGGAGACTATAAGAAGCGAAAACGGTTACAATGTAAAAAAAGCAAGGTAAGATCGTGTGAACAACAATGTTGTTAAGTATTGTTTCCAAAGAGGCCTCCTCTGAACATTTCGTGCAAAGAAAATGTCATCTTTAGATTTCCTCTCTTTCAACATAACTGATTCCTTTTTGGATAAGAAATAATGTGGAATGTGATTTGCTTGCTGAGCAGGCTCGTGTGAAGAGTATTACGTTGTTAATTAAACGTAATAAGCGGCTACAGTCTGCTGATCCCCAGATTGAATTATTGCAATGTATAGACTTTGCAGGGGTTTGCCAGTGTACAAAGCTGCCGTATTCTTTAATGGAAAAGGAACATCTAGATTTTATATAACATTTTCATCAAATTAAATTCCACTCTCCTGCTGAAACATGCATCCTAACGTTTTTACCTTTTTGAAGTACTCACGTTTGGGATTTGGTGTCGGTAGGCTTAATGATGTGTTACAAATGCTGAGTTATTACAACACAGTAATGATCTGAATACTGTCATTCCTCCTGCTGTTGTTTAGAGAGAAGTGTGCAGCAGATTTGTCGGATTCAGTTTGCAAATGAACACAGATTATATTGGAAAATGGGAGATATTTTGGTTTACGAAGGCGAGCTTCTTGGAATGGTGAAGGAGGTATGTCGTTTTCAAAGTGTGCTTAAGTGCTGTTTTTTTTTCTCAGAAGTGTGTTATGGAATGACATTTTATGCTGCTTTTTTGCCGTTTGGCTCATATGGCACTAACCCATTGAATACTAAAGGAGATGTCATGGGAAACTGATAGTGTCAGACCCCAATGTCAGAATGAGAATGGGCAGCACTGCTGTCCATTCCCCTTGAATGTGCTTGAATGTGCTTTCTGGCAGTATGTTTTGGGAGTCTGCCTAAGAATTGGCTTTGGTGGAAGGTTTTGCTGAATATGGAAAATATTTCTCTGAGCAGGAAGAACAACAGTAATGGTAAAATAGATAATAAAATCATCCGTCAAGATATAATCCAATTGTTTTTTCATAAATGACTGATTATCAAAAGCATTTTGAAGTGCTAGGCAACGCTTATATTCTTGTAATAGTAATAATAATAATATACACTTATATAGCGCTTTTCTGGACACTCCATTCAAAGCGCTTTACAGGTAATGGTGACTACCCTCCACCACCACCAGTGTGCAGCCCCACCTGGATGATGCGAAGGCAGCCATAGTGCGCCAGAACGCTCACCACACACCATCTATCAGTGGGGAGGAGAGCAGAGTAATGAAGCCAATTCATAGATGGGGATTGTTAGGAGGCCATGATTGGTAAGGGCCAATGGAAAATTTGGCCAGGATGCCAGGGTTACACCCCTACTCTTTTTGAGAAACGCCCTGGGATTTTTAATGACCACAGAGAGTCAGGACCTCGGTTTTACGTCTCATCCGAAGGACGGCGCCTTTTTACAGTATAGTGTCTCTGTCATTAGGACCCACATGGACTGCAGGGTGAGCGCCCCCTGCTGGCCACACTAATACCTCTTCCAGCAGCAACCTTAGTTTTCCCAGAAGGTCTCCCATCCAGGTACTGACCAGGCTCACACCTGCTGAGCTTCAGTGGGTTGCCAGTTGTGAGTTGCAGGATGATATAGCTGCTGGAACTTGGCTTTGTAGGACACAGGTGTTTCATAGCTTAGATGTAAGAAAGATTTGGTTATATTTATTCATTTTGAAATGTGCTGTCCAAAGGCCATATCTTCATTATTAGCAAGTACGTTTTATTGTCTTTGCCTAGTATTTAAGGTTTGCCGAATTTGATGAAACTGTGAAACTTTTTGAGAAAGAATGCAAGACGAAAGGAAAGCCTCTTCCAAAAACCACGGGGAATGTCTTGAGAGACTCCAAAACATTAATTATTCAGGTATGTGTCTGGAGTTTTATTTATTTTGTTAGTAGCATTTTGTACAGAATTGGAACAGTGACACCAGATGACAAATTGAAGCGTAAAACCTCAAATTAGTTTAAATACTGTAAAGTCCACATTCACATTTTCACATAGAGAAGGAGAATTGCAGATCTGGACTCTCCTTGACCAATACTCTTAAAAAGAGTGTCAGGTAAATCTATCATTCCATCAGATAAATATAATATTTTACCAGTGCAGTCTATGGCTCCAAAAGGAAAAGATGTTTTTTTACATATGGGACTGCGTTTTAAATATAGGTACTTTTGCCCTGTTCTGCAGAAGGAGATGATCAGCTCGTTTGAGGATGGAGATCTGAAAGTGTTCTTTGAGCTGTGGAATGAACACATCCCTGCGCAGATTCGAGACGTTGACCTTCTCGCCCAGAAACTTGAGTTTTATCTGCACATCCACTTCGCGATCTTCCCACTGAAACACGTCCTAGGAACACCTGTAAGCAACATTGAAATACATCACAAGTCTCCCTTTCAAACAATCGAGGTCTTACACCAGTGCAAAGGATGGGATCAGAATTTTTCTATGCTGTTGTTCTGTTTGAGTGGGATAGGTAGGTTTTCCTTAATTTAGCACATCATAGTTGTAATAGGACGAAAATCTGACTATTATTTCATTGTAGAGTTTTATAAGGAGTGATTCCAGCACCCAACAGTATTTGTGCTGTCCAGATTTGGATCTTCCGAGACATGCAGATTAGAATTTGTAATTGTTAGGGGACTAAGTTCTTACTTTATCCACCAGATGTCTCTATTGCCTGGTTCAAATATTAGTAAAAAAATACATTTTTAATTGTTCTACATTGTTAGTACTTGTAATGTGTCCAGGTACCACCACATTACTTTATACATAAAGAATTAAAAAATATATATTATCTTATTTGCTATTTCATCGCATTGTTGTTTTAATATAGCCAGGAGGGTGATTTACATTCTTTCATTTTGATGTCATTGTCTAGAATACTCCTAATCCTTAAGGTGTAAGTAGAGGTTAATTGCACACCGAAAAGCCGAAAGAAAGAAGAACAGGCACAGTGTTGTGTCTGTCGAGCTCAGGTGTGTGGGAGAACGAGGAAGAGAAAAGCAATATGAGTGAGTAAGGAGGACAAAAGAGAAAGTGAGAATGATAGTGGAAGGTGAGAAAAAGGGTCTGAATGGAGAGGTTAAGAAAGGAATGAGACAGTCATTGAGAGATGAGGGAAGCTGATAACCTAGTTTAAGAGTAAGTTTGGGATCTGCTTTGTTTTTTTGTGTAATAGTCCTTGAATTCTTGTAAAAGGATGGGGTATCGTTGATAAGGCTTTATCAGTGCAGTCGCATGCACAGAAATCCGTGTTGTGTCACCGAGGTCTACTTTCAAGCTTTGGCAGCAGTCTGCTAGCTTTCAGCGGTGTAATAAACTGGAAGAACGTATTGTTCCATGAGCAGGACAGAACGGATTTTGAGGAGAGGATAACACACTTCAGGCATTACCTGGAGACAAGAGGAGCAGCGCTGAGCCAGACCACCGAGTTCCTGCCCTTCTACGCCTTGCCCTTTGTGCCTAATCCCAAAGTGCATCCGTCTTTCAAAACTCTCTTCCAGGTCTGCCTTTCCACTTGTTACGAAGTCCCAGCACAGAGCACAGGCTTTGCTAGACCATTGCCAGTACATTATATCACAAAGGTGCCAGTATGAAATGCACCTTGGCTGAAGTTCAGCTTTAAAGCTGTTGTACAGACATTGTAGGTTTGTCTTTGTTTCTCCATGGTACTTTTACACATTATCAACCATGCCAGTACATTTTTTTTAGAAATATATATAATATATGTAGAAAAAATATATTAGTTGTCGTAAACACAAACATAATACCCTCTAACACGTGCTAATTAGTTGTGAGGTGATGTCCATGTACGTTTTATTTAAATACTATTTCTGTTTCTTGAAATTGTTTTTTTAGGATGCTTGGACCCCGGACCTCAAGACGAGGCTAGAAAAATTTCTGTCTGTGACACTAAAAGCCAGCAGTACTCCAAAATTGCTTACTTTATATGTATCCTTCACAAAGTACTTTAGTGAAAGTTTGAAAACAATTTTCTTTTTAATTTGTCCTTTCAACACCCCTTCATTCTTTGTTGTTTAATTCTAACTTTATACAGTGTATAAAGTTCTATTAATAATGTATGTTATATATATATATTGGGTGTTTAACACCTTATTCAGTAAACAAACATCGTTTTAGAAGTTTAACAGAACCTGTCTCTAAGTGACTTGCATTCTGGAATGCTGTCAATTATCTTGCTGTATTCTTACTGGTTTATCTCAATTAGAAGAAGTTAAACATTCAAAATATTTCTATAAAATTTGAAAGTATGAAAGAAGTTAATGCTGTCTTAAAAATAAAATTAGTTCCATAAAAATTGGTATACAATTATCCATGCAGAAAATAGATTCAAGCTGTGAAATTGTAGGTTTTTCCAATATGCCAGATTTTGATGAGCTTTTTCCTTCTGTCTTTTTGCCTATATAGACAATTATTATACATTTTTAAATTAGCATTTCTTAATCGCATTATACTTAATGCAGCTTGGTATACACAGAGTTGAAGAATAAATGTATTCTGTTATTTACTCCTGTTTTAGAAAATGTAAAAAAAGTAAGAAAAACAGAAAAGAAACTTGGCATTACCCAAACCAAGAATCAGCCAAGCTTGAAAAGAGTCAAATATTTTGTTTTAATGTTCATGAAACAAGCAGTGAACCAGAATGTATCTTTTTAAGGTTTACCTTATGGGTTTATGCACTGGTATATCCCATTGTGTCAGACACCCTTTTGTTCTGTGGACATTTGAAAAATGTATGTTATCTTTTATCCAGAGCAACATAAATATGCTGGGTATTTTAGTGAACCAATCTGAATCAAGTAACTTGCTCAAAGGTAGTGGGGCTGTAGGTAATCCACCCAGGATTTCAACTCATAACCTTTCTGTTAGATCCACATCCTTGACCACTATTCTAAATCCCTGACTCAAAAGCTGCAAATATAATAAAAGCTAAAACTATTTTTAAATAATATTATATATATAAATAAATTTATAGATGTCCACTAAATAATAGCTGACTTGCAAGAGCCCGAGTGTTTCAAAATTTAATGTACAATGTTGAAAAGCTAAAGATTCAGCTTGCCGCCTAGGACAGCTCTTCAGACCTTACTCAATCTAGTTTATGGATGGATTGACTTCCTGTGACACGGGTAATTTAAGATTCCTCCACTAAAATTATTTCAAGGAATTGGACAGTAAAAAATGGGAGGATTCGTCAAGGTTATGCAAAGTAAAATATTGACCAACTGAGTGGTGTGTTTTGTTCATTAACATCAGAAACACAGAAGGATAGCGGGCAAGGCAATAAAGGTAAATACGTCATGTCTGATAAGCAGGAACTTTTTACAGGTTTATAAGAAAAGTTAATCTTTAAGAACTGTGAAGTATAGATATCTCCTGATGGGCAAGGTTAAACTCCCATAGAAATGTCCCAAGGAAAATTGGCGGCTGTGTGCTGTATCTAATGTAATACAATGAGAGATGGCATTGTCTGCAACTGAGAAATTATCTTCTTGAATTTGAGATGCTTCTGTGTCACTTTTATTGATTTTAACTATATGCTCAAGATGGAGTTAGTTTCAGTCTGTTATAATGTCAGCATTGGTATTTTACCCTTCCGTTATGCCGGATGTGTGGCGTAGATTAACATCAGTTGGTAGTGACTGTAACGCAGCCTGGGCTGAATTTGAAAACATATTTAATATAGTGTTCTCTTTCACTGGCTTATGATTTAGACTCTTTATTCAGTAGCCTAGTAACTGGATTTCCTGCCTTCTGCAGTTTGTTCTGTTTTTTCCCCCTGTGTTGGAGGCTACTCAGCATTTTAAGTCTGATGTACTGTAGCACATGATAGTTAGGAAGTGTTCTCGTAAACAACAGTAAAACCTGCCAGTAACAGTGCATCTAAATGTAATGTGTGAGTAAATAATTTATCTTTTAGAAATGAAACAGATGGTGCTATGGAGGGGATTTGTTGTTGGAATGGGATTTGAATCACAGCAGTGTCCCTCTTGTACAGACATACTGCAACAGTTAGTTGATGCAGAAAGGAGAGCTGCAACCTACATGAAGAGGTACAACAAGATGCAGGCTGACTACCACAACCTTATCGGTGTCACAGCAGAACTGGTCGACTCACTGGAAGCTACAGTCAATGGCAAAATGGTAAATCAGGTGCCTATTTGACTTCTGCCAATTTTTTATCTCTCCTCTCTTGCTGAAACCGCAAAAGAAACTCAGCACATAGTACCTGAAAAACTCAGAAGAACTGATCTTGTTTTTTTCAGATCACACCAGAATACCTCCAGAGCATCTGTGTCCGTCTGTTCAGTAACCAGATGCGGCAAAGTGTGGCACAAAGCATTGATTTCACCAGGCCCGGGACTGTAAGTGTGCGAAACGTACATGAGGAGTCATGAGCTGATATCGTTCTCAGTTTGTTTCCCTTCGAAAGTATGATGGAGGTTTCATTCAGCAAGTGAAACCTTTCAGTCTTCTACATGAACGTGAACATAGTAAGAGCCAGTACCATAAGATTATTGTCCCTTAATGTGCGGTAAAATACATACTTTCAACAGATCTTTTTCAACTCAGGCAACATGGAATTGGTAATAGGTCAATAATCGGAATTCATCATTAATTTTATATTGTTTCCAGGGTGTTGTGTACGTTTCTGTTTGCTGCATATTTTGTTCTTTGTCAGTAATGTGCCTAATGTCCTTTGTGACTTCTTTCTTATGAACGTCTACCCTTAAAGGGATATTACTCTATGAGCCCTAATGACAATGATGACGGATATGTAAGTTGCTGATGATTTCTTAATTTCTGTTTCTCGTCTTGCTTGCACCTTGCTAGTCTTTTCTCGTCCCCTCTACATGCCCTCCCTCGTCTTTGTCCTAATTCCTTTTGTGTTTTATTGTAGTCCCCGTCATGCCCTGTTTAATCGGTCCTTAAAGCATTGTGTTTATTGTTAGGATGCCACTCTTTGTGTAGAGTAACAGTGGCCAGTACTATAATATTCCACTTGTGCAGTACCAGCCTGTATAGCATTCACATTTGCTTTTGGTCATCCATAGATTTCAGCGTGAATATTGAGTTTGTCTAGGTTAGAACAGAGTGAGAAATAGCATCTTGATTGTTATATCCATATTGAAGTTTAGATGATAAATGCTTTAAAGGTTTGCTTTGGTAGACATTGTGAACAATTTAAAATCTGAACCACAAATCCATATTTTTTAATTAAATAAGTACCCAGTCAGGATATTTTACGCAGGTGGTCTTGTTTCACTTCTTATGTTGTTCCAAGTTAATTTGCATCGTAGCACTCGCTGCACTTACTGCCATGGCTTTATGAAACTAACAGAATAATAAAGGCTGTAAGCCTTTACATTAAGGGTTATCCTTAATGTATGGGAGCTGTGCATGGAATTTCTAAGAGCAGTATCTCAATTTATTACTCATATGCTACTGAGTTTTATTGTGAAGTGTCTGAAATCAGTGTCTCTTAAATTCTTTCATATTAAATCCAATAGCAGAGTATTTTTAGTAGATATTTAAGTTAATGTTATGGTCAATATTTCTATCACTAAAGATGGATTAACAAACCTATAAAACCCAGATACCGATGAACTGGCATGATTACATATTATAGACAAAATTGAAGAAGAATATTAAATGTTGGTAAAAACTAACTTTAATGTGACACATTCAGGGATGCAGGGATTTCTACTTCACCCAGAGACATTGTTGTATAAGTTCAATAGCCAATTGACAAGTTTACACATTGTTCCACATAACAGGTTGATCAAATAGTCATTGAATAGCAACACGGTGACAGTGGTTAGAAAATTCAGCAGTGTGTGATATAACAATGAGGGATGCTGCAGATTTATGCCCCTAATGCTTTCCGGTCTGCATATGGGATTTTCTTTGTATCATAACTTACTGCATGGTCACCACAGCCATCTCAATGTGCGTTCTGTGGTTCTGCATGTCCCAAACTATTCCAACACCTTATCTCCTGCCAATGTACCCTTACCTTCCAAAGAAACATTGTGATTTCATATAATTAAAGGAATGCCCCTGGTAAGTAATGGGAATTGTGGATTTTTATTTCATTTTATTCCCCTGAACTGGATGCATATGGCAGGACAAGCGCCTATATTACAGCACTAGAATATTTTTTAAATCTTTTGATTTTGATTAAATGTGTCCCGTGTATTTTTATACACAAGTATTAAGAGAGAGTGTTTTTTCAAAAGAAGGCTAATGTTCCTTCAGTATATCAGTATGCAAATAGTACTAATGCAGTTTGGGGGTAAAAAATAGGGAGTAAGATAAAAATGTTCAGAACTAACAAAATAATTCAATTATTGCTATTGTTTGCTTTGTCATTATTTTGTGAATTATGTATACATATCTTAACTCAAAAATGACTATTGTTGACTATTGACTGGTTACATTTATTTGATGCATTAGAATACATTTATTTGTTGATTTAAAGACATTTAATGGTCTCCAAATAAATGAAGAAATGAAGGCCAAAGCACTGAACTTGTAAAAGATTTCTATCCCTTTTAGACCTATTTATAACTAAATGAATACAAAATACTGTAGCTTAACACAGGCCTGCTGCAGTTCTTCCCCAAGTCTGGAAAATGGGCTATAAATTCTCTGAAGTCTCTGCATACAACATACAGTACGTCTGATTCTTCTCCTGGTCTTTGTACTTTCTTCCCCAGGCTTCATCTATGCTGAGAGCATCCATTCCCACTCCGTAAGTGAGATTTCCTAATTGAATTAGAAGCAACCAGGCATAAACGGAAGCAAAACAGACCTGTGAGCTGTCAAAAAAGATTTAAACATAAAGTAGTCTTAGGAATACATTTAAATTATATCAGAATTTAATATGGAGATCAATCATATCCAAACAACATGCATCAATGGAGATCATGTATTAGTCTGTCAGTGACCGATACTACAGTAGGCCTACAGTATCCTTCTATACACAACCCAGTTCCTTAATATTGTGGCCCCCCAGCAATAAAATTACTTAACTTTAGTTCTAGAAAACTGTATTCATTATGAAGTAGTTTAAAACTCCTTATAAGGTTCGGGGAAAATGAGGGACTGAAAATGATTTTTATTATTTAATAGTAACTATATGAAAGTGTACAGATGGTTTAATACCAAAGGAACCCTAAAATCTTTTATGTAAAGCGGGTTAGAAACCCGCTTAAATGACCACTAAAGTGCCATTCCCCACTAAAGTGAGAAACTGCCTCATCCAGTTGAGTAAAGAGGGAACTTCTAGAAGGCCAGTTTTGCAATCCTGAATGGAAATGTAGCCAGCACACCAGGACATTATAAATAGTTCCTTGGGATCATTAATGAGGGAGTAGTTAAGTTTAATTTCTCATACACAGGATGAATTACAGTGTCTCCAGTCACTAAACCTGTCCTTTGGTTTTGGAAATCCTGGTCCAGAGAAACTGTTGCCATTCACTGGTCCACCAACACCACTGAAAGCAGCAACCTGGTTTTCCTTAGAACTCTTCCGTCCCACTACTGACCAATCCCAGCCTTGCTTAGCTTCTGGGACTTGAAACGATCAGGCCACAATGTGGTAATGCTGTTGTCAGGATCATGTGTATAATAGCTAATGAGTTGTTTCTGAGGCTTTTGCATTATGTTGACCATTACTGTGAGAGTTGCAGTTAACTCTTCAGTGGGTTTAGATCTCATTTCTTCCCTTGAATTTCAAAGCCACATGCAACTGCATTATAACGTAGGCTTCTTGGCTGCTTGGTTCCCTGGTCATTTTTTTTTTTGCGGCATGTCCTTTAGTAAAGCTCTTTTCTGGCTATCAGGAAGTCCAAAGACGTGCCGTTGCTGCCCTCTTTAGACTATGAGAAGCTGAAGAAAGACCTGATTTATGGGACAGACCGCCTGAAGGCTCTGTTGTTGCAAGCGCTGCGCTGGGTGAGTGACGGTCCTGTTATGAAACGGTGCTCTTTAGAGGAGAGGTGGAAGAAGAATGGCAGAGGAGTGCCAGAACAGTATACAAAGCCTGTGATTCATGTAAAATAGCACAATACAATCCCATAACCGTGCCGAACAGTCATTGAATTATTCCGTCTTGAAATCAAGATGCTTCCTTCATGGCTGTCCTTTCACAGCTTGTTTTTGTTGATTTTTAAAAAAAATAAAATTGGAGCCAAAAATGGATGCAAATTTCTAGACTTTTGTGTCCTGTAACATCTCTGTTTTTGTAGCAGAATGTCTTAAGAGGCCATTTGCTTTTTATTGAATAAAAGCACAAGACACGAATTATAACTATTTCACTTACTGGACTTGTTTTGGAACTCTTTTGGGAACAGTTTTTGAAACTTTTTTTTGTTCTCACTTTCAGAGACTGACTAAGTCTTTCCATGGGGAGCAGAGGGAGACAGTGCTCCAGGCTTACATCAGCAATGATGTTCTGGACTGTCACAGCACTAGCCAGGTGAACAGCCCTACACAAGCTAGTGTCGGCGCACAAGAGGCACTGAGCTGCTTGAAATACTTTTGGAATTCAACAACATTTCAGTATTTCACTTCACATACCTGTAGTTATTTTATTGAAGAATGTTGCTCAAAATTGCCATTACTAAAATATTAGACTGCCATGCTATGTAATATTTGTCAGACTTCTCTGTGCCACTCCTTTGAATTCAGGTTGCACCTACAGGGGTTTCTTGTATGTGCAAAATAATCAGGTAACCTTGTTTTTGTTTATGTATATTATGAATATGTATGTAAACCTGCCACTTGACTGAATACACACTTGAATAGATGCTTGAGTTTTGTAACATTATCTTTTGAAATTAATAGAGCCAACAATTAGAAGGGCAGTTGAACAGAACAGTTATTATAACTATGTTTCAGTTTAAACTTATTATCTCGCACATTTTGATTTATTTTATAATCTAGTTTATGGTATGGGTCAGCTTCAAACTTTTTTCAAAAGTGCCAAAAATATACAACGTCTTGTTTTGTAGAAGAATGTGCTACAGCTGCTGAACTCTAAGAATGAGGTTGTCAGGCAGTACTTGGCACGACTGATCAATGCTTTTGCCTCACTTTCAGAAGGTACGTCGATCCGTTATTAATGACGTAAACTCATTAAAAAAAAAGATTATTTTAGGAATGATTTGCATTATTGTTTTCTGAAGTGTTAATTATCATAAATGAAAGGATATCGTGGTTGCCAGTTAGTGAGAATTGCCTCACATTTTGGTTCCATCCATTGTTGGAGGGCGAAAGGTGAGATTCCACTTCTTGTTTGAACCACATTCCCCAGAAGGCAATGAACGTGTTTTCCCAAGACCCACTTACTTTCTGGATCCTGGCAACACACCCCTGAGTGTGCAGAAGTGTGTCTGTTCAAATAAAAGAAGCCAAACATGGGGAGTGAACTTAACCCAACTTTTAAAGTTCAAGTTTTAGTGGGTTATACCACTCTAGGTTAGGATGGACTTCTCTATCTGTATCAGCAGCCTTAATAAGATATCATTGAACCCATGTGGAGAATTTGTGCTTTAAAGCAAAATGTTATTAGCTTACTTTAAAGAAAAGCAGCACAAACCTGAAATACACAAGAAAGCAAAAAGATTCATTCCTTATTCATATTAGAGAATTGTATTTTCCTAAACCAAGCATTATTTTTTAATATTACTGTAATAATAACTACCTGTCTGAAAATGATTAAAGTATTTGTCTGCTAGAAATAATGCTGCCGATATTTTGTATGTGTTGCTGTCACAGGTCGCATGTACTTGTCCCAGAGCCCTGTCCTGCTAAGAGTTCTAGAGAGCACTCTGAGGGTGGAAGAGAAGGATTCTCTTACCAGGGAGAATGTGCTGGGAGCTCTGCAGAAGCTCAGCCTTAAGTATGAGAAATCAAATTTGTTACCCTGCTTTATACCCTTCTGTCGTTACAACCTTGAAGTTATATTCCACATAGCAAATTTGACTTATTTGTGCTTTATACTTCTAGAGCACTGTTACGACCCCAAGTGTCTAGGGGTAAAGGGGTGTAACATTTAGGATAATTTTTGGAAGCAGGTGGGTTCTGGTGAGGGACTAGGAAGCGTGATAACAAGGGTTGGTGCAAAAAGTGATAATTTTAAGGTGAATAAGTGACTGGTTCAAAATAGGACACAATAACACACAGGGTAAGGGAACGAGAGTGGTGCCAAAAAAAAGATAATAACAAACAAAATGGAGCTGGCTAGGAAAGTAAGGGAAAGCTAACCTGACTACAAAAGAAAACCAACAAAACAACAAAGCCGAAGCTATAAGGAAAAAAGAGCCGTGCCGAAGTCAAACGAAAGGCCCCTTCCTTCTCAAAGCCTCCATGTTTTGTACTGAAAAAGATGATGAGTTGTGATTGGTCGAGAAGCTAATTGAAGATGATGTCATACGGAAACAGTGGTGTAATCACTCAAATCAATCAAAGTCAGAAGTGTGGAACATAACAACAAAAACATACATAGACCACACACTGTGACATAACAGAGGTGATATAGGTGACCTTCAGTTTTTCTGCAGGATTTTCTAAGAATCTCCTCAGTATTTATGCTTCTATACTAATTTGACATGCAAGCTAGTTACATATTGGGATGAAAACTATTATATAATAATAAATCTAAAACTATAAATAAATAATGATGAAATCTATACATAGGTTAATCTATATCCAGACTGAGATTTGACTTTCTTCTTATGAATTCGTGTTGTTTTTGTGGTTGGATCTTTAAGAATTTCTTGCCGCAAAAACAAATTCTAACCCTTATATGCTGAGTAGGAGCTTGGAGCTGATGTATCTTGTGTAATTGACAGACGTGCTCTGCAGTCGACTATGATCCAAGATGGTTTAATTCCCTGGCTTGTTGATGAGCTCCAGGACACAGATGCACTTTCTGACTACACTTTGGAATATTCCGTAGCTCTCTTAATGAATCTCTGCCTGAGAACACAAGGTATGATCTTACCTATTTGATTGCCAGAATTCAATTAGTTTATTTGTCATAAAATTATTAATGCATTATATATAATAATTGATAATACTGCATTAATGTACACTTATGTACAGAATGACAAAAGTCAGTTATTGTACTACAATGTTTGAATCGCAATTTTTGCGGCTTCTAGGAATTTCGCTACTGACAGCTGTTTCCAAAATTATTTTGGGGATTTAAACTAAATAGCTGTATTTGGCTGCACCTTTGATGTGCTCTGTTTTATCATGAAGGAAAATTTGCAGTGTTCTGTGGTTGCTTTTTGTACCATCTATGAAAGGTCATGATTAATGCAGAATGGTATGAATCCCTGTAATGTCTTACTGTTGCAGGCAAAAGGAAGTGTGCTCAGAATGCTAAACACGTGCTGAAGGTTTTGACTGATCTCCTGGGACATGAAAACCATGAGGTAATGTATTGTGTGAAACAGTAAAAGCAGCACTTCGTTTTCTTTGTTTAATGGCTTTAGTCTCCTGTGTTATTGCAGAAAGGGGAAACTACTTGTTCTTTTTATTTACATTACAGACATTTCTAGCAGAGCTAATCAATAAGCCCTTCTCAATAGGTATCTTCTTTTGGGACATCTGTTTGTCCAAATTGTGCAGAGACAAATCTCCTAGTTTTCCAGGAGAGAATTGTGCTCCTCCTGTTGGGTTTTAGGCTTAAGTGCAAACTGAATACACCTCTGACACTGATGGCTTAGCCCACCTGATGAGACTGGGAGCCCGCTAGCTTGCATTTTCTATATTTTACTTAATTAAGTTTTGACATGTTTCATTTAAATAAACCATTGAAAGTTTGTATATTATTTCAAAAGATGTGATTCATTATTACTCTCATAGTTATGTGGCATTTGGCTGTTCTTTCTTATCAGATCCGGCCCTATGTGAATGGAGCCCTGTACAGCATTCTTTCTGTGTCAGCAGTGCGAGAGGAGGCCAGGGCCATGGTGAGAACTGTACTGCTGTAAAGTCTGGAAGGCGCAGCAGTCCAGCCGAGGAAATTTGAATTATCACATGTTTTTCCCGTGTTTGCAGAGCCTGGAGGAGATACTTCACTGCTTCAGCAAGGAGGAAAATGCTGAGATGAACAGACAGATTGAGTTCATCATCAAACAACTAAACTCGGGTAAGAGCGTGAAATGCTATTGTTATTCTTATTTGAACAGAAGAGGCTTTCCACGTATACAGCAGAACTATGCTTTGTGGTATTATGTTAATGTGAACTTCAATGCATAGTGTGAAAATAGCTTATCATGATGAAGAGGCTTTAAAGCTTAATATATGTTGTCAACAAATTTTAAAATTGGACATACATAACATTTCTCAGATATTATACGATAGCAAAGAAAGAAGATTAACAGGGAAGAAAAAGTTGTATATTGTGGCCCTGTGTCTATGCAAATTAAATTCCCTCTAGACTTCTGTATTCATTGCGTATTGATTTGTAGAGGAAGTTTCAGAAGACGGGCCTCAATCTGATGATGAAGACGAAGAGGACGATGAGGATGTAAGCTAGCTGCAGTGAATGATAATTACTGAGGAGAAAGAACAACTTTCAAACTAGTTACGCACACATCTGATTGAGAAATAAGTGCGTAACAAGTCTATTTTTACGCTAGCGAGAGTTTTATTTCAGTGCTCCACAGAAATAGTTTAGACAAAACCTGTTGTGGATTCATTCTTACCTAGAAACAAAGCTATTGTATATATCATAATGTTTCATAAAAAAAGTTTTTTAATAGACAAAAATTGGATTAAAAATAAAAATGTGAAAATCTGGAAAAGGAATAACATTTTTGTTTTTCCATTTGTTATTCATAATTCATAACACATGCTGTGTAAGGCTGCAATAGTAAATGTAAGAGGCTTACTTGAGTTGTATATGCAACTAATTTGTCTGGGTTTTTATAATGTTTTGTGTGGTTTTATTTGAGAATTTTATTATAACCACTGAAATAGTTTTTTTAAAGCTATTTTCTGTTATTTAAAGAATTCAAGACTTAGTACAGTTGAGAAGAAACACTGTTCTTTCTGTTAGCTGCTGTTATATAATTTCTGAAGGCTGAAGTAAGTTAACAAATGTGCAATCATAGGAAGACCAGGATGCAATGGAAGCAGATCTGGACAAAGAAGAAGTGGTTCAGCCACAGCTCAGGGAGCTTTCAGGCGAAGCGCTGCTGACAACCGAGTACCTGGGGGTGAGATCTGTTGTGCGCATTATATACGAACTGAATGAAAATCTGGAAATGCACTTGGCTGCAAAACATTACACACTGCATGAAGCTTGTTGTACTGGTAAATCTTTAGAAGTACCATCATTCGTGCTTTTTCCTGTCCTAGGATTCAGGTATTCCTCCGATCTGATTCCCTGTATTCAGTTCGGACATCAATAGCTGTGTGACCTGTGATCATCTGTTTTTAATCCCTCCGTTTTTCTTTCCTTCATTAATCACTGTAAACTTACTTTACTAGCTGTGAAAAAAGCAAACCAAAGTAGAATTATTCTTGACATACAGTAACTATCAGAAGCTTTGAGTCATGACCCTTGTGTTTGTATTCTAGCCTGTCAGGAGGCTTGTCATGAGCTGTCGTGCTTGTTTCCAGATCATGACAAACACGGTGAAGGCGAAGAGGAAGTCGGCCCAGGCCATGAGTCAGGTCGTCGATGAGCCACTTCAGCGACCTGTCACCCCCAGTTCTCACCGCACAACCTACACGCCGTGAGTCTTGCTGACTGTGAACTTACCGGTTAAGTTCGGGTTTTTTGCAGGTTTTTTTTTTTACCATGCTTACTGTACATACTTTTTGCACTTTTTTTATCATACATACTGTTTGCTGAGAATGCAGGGGCGTCCTCCTAAAATCCACAGTAAGGCAGTCATCCTCTTGCTATCTCTCTTGTAAATCCTTAGAAATTATCCTTGTTAAACATTTAAAACAGTGAAAGCACAATTTCCCCCATCTTTAGTTTTTAGTGTCTAGCCTTTTTTTTTTACTGTTCCGTAAACCATCTGTTGGGCAGTGCTACCATCTGGACATGTCTTTATTGCCCCAATAAACACCTGGAATGGCCTTTTCCAGCACAAGGTCAGCTGGCCCTCAAGTCAAACATCAAGCACATGAGTCAAGGGAAGAAGCTGGCTCCCTTAGAATCTTCTTTGTCTTTACCTGGGTCTTTCTTCAGAGCTCTTCAACCCCAATGTCTAATTAAATCAGACTCATCTGTAAACAACACTGAAAGAGAAATATGAACAGATTCATGCAAATGTTGTTTCGTGGCAGCAGGAATTTGGGGATTATCATGCGTAATGGAAATGTAATTTACGATTCTCGAGTATAGTACTTTTGATTGACCTGCAGTCTGTTGTTCTGTGTCCTGAAGGGATTCCAGACTGGGCAGTGGAGGGCGTTGTGCTCTCAGCACGCACAGGAGCGAGGTCAGCCTCCCCCAGTCCCAGTGTAGCTCCCGACCTCCGACCCGCAGCGGGAGCAGGCCGAGCAGTGCGGAGTCTCTCAGCCCCATCCTTGGTGAGCACCCCCGCACTTGTCTTCTTGAAGTGGGGGAAGAGCATACTGTGCTACTGTCCACCCTGTGGACTCCCTGTGCTTAAGCACTGAGATCCAGTCTCGCTCCGTCACCATGAAGAACCTGAGAACACACCCACTTCTTCATGTCTGCAATGCTCAAAATAAATTCCCTGTAACACTCTTAACTTAGACATCCGTACATCCAACTGCATGGTTTTATTTAACTACTCTAGACTTAGGAAGCTTATCTTTTTAACAATTTCTGTAGCAGAAACTAGTAGTTTATTTTGTCTGTTATTACATAAAAAATTATGCATTCATATATCAAATATTTGGGTATTAAATAACCTTTTTTAACATTAGTACTGTACAATGGTGCATTCCCATAACTTTCCATTGCATGCTCTAAACAATTCATATAGTAAAAAAAGATCATTTCTATTAACAATATATATTGTATGTACAGGATTTACTGCAACACAAAAAGCGCTACATAATATATAACACATCTAGATTTGTTTAAATTGTTTAATTTGCTATAAAGACAAGATTACTCATTTTTATTTACTTATACAAAAGTAAATATAAAGAATTTATTTTACTGCAGAACGTTTTATACAGTATTTTTATAGATTCTCTACAGTTTACAGCATTAATACTGTGTAAAACAAATTCTTATCTGTATAAAAATATTTTTTCTTTATAGCACACAAGTTGAATGTAAAACATTACAGAGTGCGATGTTATAATAGGTACAGAAAATTGCTTTTAGACCCCTCGAAAACCTACTCAATATGTTTCCAATACTTGCACCACATGTCTCTGCTCAGCTAACAAAAAACATTTAATTTCCGTCTGCTTGAGTTAAAACCATGCCAGCAGGCTGCTTTGTTCACATATTGCTCTTTGGTAATATATTAGAAGATAATTTTTTCTTTGATGTGGCAGTATTGCCCTTAGGGGATATGTAAATGTCTAACCTTAAAACTTTGTCTAATCTAAAATATGTGTGTGTGCATGTATGAATTTCTGTAGAATTGAATAAGTTGCTTCTGTTCTTTCACCTTCAGAATATTATTCTAAATATTTCAGTTTTGGAAACTGTGTTGTATTTCATTAATATTTCTCGATGACACTCTGGTACACATTGTCTTCTGTTTGCTTAATAAGTGTTGCTTTTGTTATGGACTTGTTTCAGTACCTTGTTTCTGTTGTAACTGTCTTTGCAATGGCACAGCTGCAGACGCGGACTGTGGCCGGTCCTCTCAGCGACTGGGGCTGAGTGGGCATCTTGAAGCACTCTCTTTGCAGCCCCTGCCCAGCCGGGCTCCAGAAGAGAATGGTCTTTCTGGCAGGTGAGCATAGTTTCCCCTAACACCTCCATCAGGCTTCAGAGTGAACAGCTTGTGAAGTAATGAAATACGAATTGACAGTGTAAATGTTTAATTACTAGTGTTACTCTTGAAATCTAAGGTGAATCCAAGAATTGAATCCCATTATCTTCTGCATTAACTTTGTGTCAGCCCATGAATTAAGTGTGGTGGGAAGACTTTCCTATGCCTCGACTTAAAGAAGGTGGTAATCTACCTTTTCTGACTCAGCAGCTTTTCTTCGCAGCTTGTCAGTTATCTGCCTGTAAAACAGCATTCCAAGACAGGCTTGATTAAATATCAGCAAATCCTAGAAAAGAACTTAAGTCTATAAGTGATCTGCATTTATTAAGCTCAGCTTTGATGCTGCTTTAATTAACTACACTTCTGTTTATGAGGGATAGGTCCTCTGTGCTTAAGAAAACAAATCTAATCTTACACTTGCTTATAAAGAACAAAGGCACTTAAAATGAGAGAATGTCTCGTGCTGTGAAAGAACAGTTATCTACAGTATTTTTGTCTGTCTTCAAGCAACCTCGGCAGTCATTGAGCACTAATATGGCAACAATCTCTGGCAGAGGACTACTTTTAATGTACATTACATCAGCAGAAATCCATCTCAAATCCTGAATTTACATTTCCTGTTTTGGAAAGTTTTTTTTTTTTTTTTTTAGAAATGTGTTTTAGAAAAAGAAAAACACAAGAGACTCAAATGTAGCAAGTGAAAAACTCAACTTAAGCTATTGCATTTTGTGCATGTTTACATGTATACATGATATTGCAAGGTGCTGCTTTTGTCATTCATGTTCTTTATGTTAAAAGTAGATTTCTGACCAGGTGCTGCTCTTCTATTTGCATTAAAGCGAGAACATTCCTGGATTTACAAGTCGACCCAGGATCCCCCGGACTCCTGACTGTGGGTCCACCAGCCCTCGAAAGGCCCGGACCCCCACTCTGGCACCACAGTTCTCCCAGTCCGGCCCCCAGCAGACCAGCAGGCCCAGCTCTGCAGGTTCCCTGGGCAGAAGCCGGCAGAGTGAGTGTCCAGCTCCGCCGACACCTCAGAAGTGACCTGTCAGCGCACTGAGGGTGGGATGGGGAGATACAGTACATGAGTTATCATGATACGGTTTCATCTGTATTGAAGTGTTTGATTGTTTCAGTTATTAAAGAAGCTCCCTCTTAGACTTATAGTTTAGGACTAGGCTAGGTGCTACCAGGTGCTCTAATTCTGTTCTGAAGGAAGAAGGTGCATGGAGCAAATGTCATTATTCTTAGCTAGTGCAAAACAGACCAAAATGTTTTTTCCCTTTGTATTTGATAAGTTTTTGTCAACTGTCAATGTGCTTTTTATGTTCCTCAAATTTATTTTTGCCGGTATTTTGCTACAGAGCCTTTCTCTAGGGTACAAGCAGTGAGCTGCCCAGGATTTGAATCCACAGCCTTACAGTGTGGAGTCCAAGGCCCTGATCACTGCTCCACACTGCGGCCTCTTCATTTCACTTCTCACACATGCTGATTTGGATACTTGTGTTGCTTTTTTTTTTCTGGAGGGCGGGACATAAACTTTTATAAAGATTTTAAGACATAGTTGTGGGATGCATTTTCTTACTGTCCTGTTTTGAGTTCAGAAAGATGTAAGGCTTCTGTTATTGTCCGACGAGAACACAAAGTAGGAAGAGTTTTAGTAACATTGTCATTTGTAACTGAAATAAAATAGACTCTGGAATTTACTCAACATTTTAAAAATATTTGATCATTTGGTTTGTGATTGCTACTTTGTTTGACTTTGGATTGATAAGAAGCCTTGATATATGAAATTGAATTATCTACTGCTCTCTGGGTCTCACAAAAATCAGATTAAAAAAAGACAAGGATTGAGTATGTCACAATGTTTTTGGTTGGGCAGACAAAACTGCCTTCTCTGCCACTGTGCAGAAAAAGCTACTGAGAATGAATTGAGTACCATCTGTGTCCTAGGCAATGATGTGACACGGCTGAATCTGCCATAAATCCTAAATCTGGATTCTCCTCCAGCAGTTCAGACGTGCTGTCTGTACCATTTCCCACAGTTATGGAACAAAGGCACTGTTTGTGAGTGTCATGTCAGACTTCAGATGTATCTTTAACACTGCAGGAGTTAAAGGATATTTTTTTATTTTGCCCGAGATGCCTAGACAGGAGCTGAAACCTGAATGAAGTCAAGGGGTGCTATTCACACTGTTAAGCTGTTGTGCTTAAATGATTTTTAAAAGGTGTGGCCACTAATAATGGCACTGTTTTCCCTCTGGTTTGTCTGCCAGCCAGGTAATGAAATCTAGTGTTGATGTGGCTCCCTGTTAAAAGGCCTAAGTAGCCAAGTGTCAGCGCAGGCAGGTGTAGGAACGTAAATTCCTTATCTGACGGACGGTAGTGTGCATCTCAGTGGGTAAATGTCGTGGGTTGCTGACGTCAGCATTTCCTTTGGAAGGGATCCTGTGAGCTCCTTTTTTTTAAACGCATCAGATGCCGAATGCTATTTCCTCTCCCCAAAAGCCTTTTTTTCCTGGCACATGCTGAAAAGGAAGAGCTGATGTGTAACAAATAAAAAAAAAAAAACAGTTGCATAAGAGTATTCTGTTGAATACGTTTCCATTTTAGTTTGGTTTTGCCATTCATGTTTGGAGGCTTTTGGAGGGAACAGGAGTTTGTAATCCTGACAAAGCCAGCCGTGCAAATTCAGGAGTTCATCTCTGAAAACGGTACTTTGCACGTGTACCTGATTTCTTTTGTGTTTTTATTTTAGTTCAGCTCCCACTCACTCGAACTGATTCTAAAAAGGAGAGAGAAAGAGCTTAACATAAATTTCAATAATTATCTCTCAAGAACTTAGTTGATTTGTTTTTTTTTGTAGAAGTAGACTACTTGTTTTATCATATTTTAAATAAATTGGCTTGCTTGAGAGAGAGCAGGGCTGGCACCATGTGGAAAATGTGGATTGCTCAGTACTTCCCCAACCTCTTGTTTTGTTGCGGCTTTGGTACTTTATGTTGCTTATGAATTAAATAGCCGAGAAAAAGTGTCCCTCCAGATGTATAACAAATTGAAATTACTGGAATATTGTATAAATAAGTAGTATTACGTTGTACAACAGTGCTCTCAGTCATGGCTCAAAAGCAGTGGTTTTGATTGAGGCATCAATTTCACTGCCTAAGAAGCCTGCAGTTACTCATGAAGAGCATTGCAATTTTTTGTTGTTAGAGCAGTTGTAACAGTACAAAATGCCCTCATTGGCAATCAGAAGAGAATTGGGCATCAGCTTTTTTTTTTCAAATGTCATCGTGTTCCGCACATCTGCCCAGCATTGACACTTCACACTTGAGGTTAGCACACACTTACAGTACCGTCAGTGTAAGAGTATTCCAGTGTTTCTCTTCCCAGGTTTCACAGCTATGGGAACACCTTTGAAACCTGGATGTTGGCCACAACATCACCTGCTTCTCCCAGCGACGTCACAGGCTTTAATTCGTGTGTTCATTTCTTCAGTTTATGAACAAATATTCTTGAAAACTCTGCCCTGTAACTCTCACACAATTCTCAGTCAAATTGTTAAATTGACTTATGTTAATGAAAAACAAGGATGCATGATACATGAGTACATCTTCACCACTTTTAAAGTCTATCGTTACTTAATTTAACTAGTATGCAGTTACAGTGTATTTTTCTATCATTTTTCTTTACAATTTCATAAGTTAAGCTTGAAATGTCTGGTTTCAGGGTTTTCATTTTATTCTGAGTGAGTACTGTAGTGTATAGACCCATGCCGCAGGAAAAACTTCATAGTCTTGCATTGGCTTTTTGTAGTTGTGCTTAAAAAAACCCTTAGAAACGCAGATGTACAGCCAAACTTCAGTTTTCCTTGCCATGTGTCTTATCCATTGTTTCACAAGTCCCTCATCCTTAGAAAAAAGATTGCTTCCGTTAAGAATTTGGATCATTTGCTTCAAACCTAAAGCAAACACACAAAACAAAAAAGAAAAGGGAAAAGGAAAATTGAGGAAACAGTGACCTTAACATGTCTTCAGTTATTGTTTAATATGTGATGTCTAACTGTTCCCACAGTATTAAGTTCCAGTGGCAATCCTCTTGTATTAAAAAGGTGGCTCACTGTTAAAGCTCCACTTAGAATCCCATCGGGTATTCACTGAGATTAAACATTATGCTGCCATGTAGATACTTAAAAGAAAGTGCAAGATATAGGCAAGATAATATTTGCCGTCTTATAATCACCCGCAAATGAATCTGTTAGTTATAAAACTGAATTCAGGAACCATTCAGCAAAGGTTCTCACATTCTCAGTACACTTCGCAAGTTCTAATACATTTAAGTGAACATCAATGCAATAACACTCTTTACAGTAGTTTTGCAAGCCCACACATTAAAACTGAAAGTAGCCCTAAGGGCATAATGTTTGTTCTCATATCCCCATAATGACTTATATCCCAGCTGCTGAGTGATTGACCTGTGCTGATATGATTCACCTTCTTTTTTACAAGATGCACTACATGCAAATAGATGAGATCACTGAATACACTGTCTCTTTTTAGCCACTTTTACCTTTATCCATTTTGTCACTGTTGAGATCCATTACTGGAAACGTTATTAGTGCTCTGAAGGATAGCAGACATTCGTGTACTCTATAGCCAGGCTTTAGATCCATAGTATCTGATGCATTGATACCCTTGATTGAGTTTGGATTATCAATAACTGTCCAAAGCACTCCTGTAAAATTTCATTTCAGCTCATTGTTCTGAAAGGGGAAAAAACAACCATTGACGTTTCTAAATGCAGTGCAGTCGATGGGAGGGATTTCATTTAAAACTCCCTTGTTACTTTGGAAAGTATTACTTGTGTTGCAGGAAAGTATTACCTCTGGTGTAAGAAATTTGATTTATAGCACTACAAAACTGAATGCTTGATGTGGGTTGTTTTTTAATGAAAACCCCTAATTGACTAAATTCAGAGTAGAAGCATTTAAAATGTCTGCACTTATAAACCTTTATACATACTGTTTTATTCTATTGACCATTTAATATTGTACAGTATATACTGCTAATTTTGTCTTGTCCATCATTAATAAATTAAAATATCTTTAATTAAAATAAATTAAAAATAAGTTTTAGTTAGAATTCTGAGCATAAAAAATATAACCAATTAATTCTGTTGCCCACATTGTTTATTTTTTGTGCCAAGTTACTAAAAATACCTTATCTTTTGTTTCCTTTTGATAAGCAGGTCCAGAAGTTACAATATATTTATTTTCCCAATTGCAAGTATTTGTTGACCTAGTTCCTACTATAAATATGATACTCTGTCACAGCAGTGTTGTCCAGAATAGCTTCACTTTACAAAACAGCAGCAAGATTAATTGAGTTTAGTTTAACTCATTTCTACTGTTGAGACAAAAAAGATTTGAAGTGATATGAAGTTAGGCCTGTTCCTGTACAGAATCTTTTAGTTTTTTTCTGTTGTTTAATTCTGGTGTGGTTTTTTTTACCCTGTTTTCTTCTGTTTTCCAGGCAGCCAGTCATACAGGAAGTGAAAACAGACCTTTCACCACATGAGTGGCCTACAACCATATCCCCTGAGGTTGATCGGACTTCCTGTAACTTCATCCACACTGCTTATCAGGATCATGGCAATGGAGCCAGGCCTGGGCCTCAGGTATGGAACAATACGCAGGATTGTCACACTGCAGTCTCCTCTGAGCACTTCTGTAATATAAGCCGCTCGGCAATAATCACAGCAAGCACTTTTTGTATTCCACTTTTCCACCATTCTTAGCACCTCAGCTGGACACTTTCATGTTGGTCATTTTCATTTGTCATTTTTTTGTGAGAAAAGATCATATTTTCATAATTTCCTCCTTTCTCTGTTTAGCAGAGTTGACTGTAGAGAACTGAAACAAGATCGGTGTAGCAAGCAGACGGTGTCACACTGTGCTTGATTCTTAAAGAAATTCTGTCAATGCAGTTAATATAAAAATAATGTGTGTACTAAAGATGTACTGTATAGCATCCTATTGATTTTGGTCCTTATTTTCCATTTGCTCATGTCCTGCTTCCCGTAGAAGAATATCATTGCAGCACCAGGGCATAGTTGTTTATCAGTGTAATGTATGTGGTGTGCTTTTTTCTGATGTGCTCAGGTGGCATGAAGCAGGAATGCTCAGTGTAAGCATCAGGCTTCCTAGTTAATGCAGAATTTGCAGAAAATACTGAGAAATGGGTGAAATAAAAAACAATTTGGAATGTTAATTTCTTGTATTGCTGCAGAGATGTTTTTCACCGCAGTAGTGTTCTGCATTACTACATTATTTATCTCTGTGCTTTGCATCTTTGGAAACAAATACGGATTTTTAAAAACTCTGCTGCTTATAAATGAGTTTGTCTGCTGTAGTCCTCAGGGTTCATGTCCCAGCAGGTTTCCAAGGTCAACTCCAGCCATCACATGGAGTCAGGTTATGGCCTGGAAAAAGAAGTAAATGGTCCAGATAATTCAACCATTTGTTCAGTTTCCCACATAACGCTCAGGGGGAATGCAACTCCCCAAGTCCCTAAGACTTAGCGCACGGTACATATAAGATATGCATATTGGATCGAAGCAGCCTCGCCTAGTCTGTTCTCTTGGGTCTGATAAACAGTTTTTGTGAATTAGCAATATGAATGTACTCTTATTACAGTGCTGAATAAAATTGATTTATGTTAGCTGGCTGGTGGCTCAAGTAGCAAAGGCATTCATGCCAAGAGGCCGTTGAGCTCTCCGGCCCAGGGGTCACGAGCCAGCTCCGACTGGGAATCCCCAAGAGGCAGCACCCGCTTGGCAGTAAGCGAGGGAGTTAGACTGGGCCTCAGCTGACCGCAGGCCGCTCAGCTCTCCGCGCAACAGTGCCTCCTGCACTTGCAGGCAAGCAGTGACATCTGTGAGATACAAGTCACTCCTCCAGTTGGCACTGAGTACTCCGTCTGGCACTGCTGAACTTCCAGTGTGTTACAAGATCAATGACTCGGACGTTGTGGATGTGTCTATACAGTATGTCTTCATTCTGTTTGTATCAATACAGGAGCCATTGCTGGAAAGTGGAGACTTTTAAAACATTTGGTGATTCCGTATTTAGTGTATGTTAATGGCTAGAATCGTGTAGGAATTCTACTATAGTGAGTTTTAATTGCATGGAATGATTGCCTCTGTAATTTTGAAACTGATGTTTTCTATCCAATGCTATATTTCTTATGAATGTATAGGTGCCCTTTCACTACACTGAATATAAACCGATCACACATCCTGTGAATGGAAGTTAATGTATATCGCTAATATACATGATTATACAAATTGTCCTCATTTAAACATTTAAACTTGTTTACCAATGAAGGTCCTGTTTACACCACAGATATTAATATACAGGCTTGGAAAGAAAAAAAATAATCTGATTTTTCTGCTTCCATTTAAGTTCTTGTAAAGCACAAACTATCACTTCTTGTACTTGTAATACAAAAAGCCATGTTTCCATAGGCTAACCTACATTTGAAGCTAATCTGTGTGTTAAATTATATTTTTCGTATTTTATGTTGTATTATATTTTCATGGCAATCTGTTGTGTAGTTGTTTTTTGTACAGGAAATATAACATTAAAAGTTTCTTTGAATATTTAATGTCCAAGATGCCTTTTTATTTACTTATAGTGTTTGTGCAGCCATGTGGTTTGGCTCTTACAGTGCTTGAATTTGTTTTGATGTTTTTGGTCTGTGAACCTTTCTCCATAATGTGAGTTTAATATGTGCCACTCTTTTAAAGTTATTCAATTGATGATGTCTTTACATATAGGAAGTAACCCACTTAGGTGACATGTGGCAGCTATTATTCATCAATAACTTTACTGCACAGCACAGCAGGTGGAAACTTAGACATTTCTTCACCAAAGTTGAATAAACAGGCAACATTAGATAGTCCAGAGTGGAGTTGATCCAGGACATTGGAGTTAACACCCCTCATTTTGTTTTAAACAGTGCTTTAATATAATTAGTAAACCAAATATTCATAAACTTGATTTAATTTCTCTTCCAAAGGACAGCAACTCCTACAATATAGTAGGAGTGCTTATACTGGTCTGGGTCTTCTGGGAAGACTGTCACCTCTTAGTCAACAATACCAGTTACTGCACAGCAACATGGTGTAATTTGGTGGCCTCTCATCCCACTACTGACCTACTACAGGCCCAGCCTTTGTTAGCTCCTGAGGTCTGACGAGATGAGGCTATAAATTATATCCCTTTACTAATATTTCCTGTGAATTGCATTAGACTTTTACACTCTTGTGTTGTCTGTTATTTACAATGGTTTGCAATTGTCTAAAAACAATAGAGTACAATGATTATGAATAAAGTACAACTATTTAGCTAAAAATATATTTTTTACATGCTACGAAACCTCACAAAGTTTCTCATTAGCCAAGCTGATGAGGAAGAATGGTTGATGCTGGTCTTAGGAATCTGTAAAATAGGCAGAATCACAATTCTGGGATTAAATTATAAAATAGAAGCAGGAGATAATTTAAGAATTTAAGAATTTCCCAGTCATCAGTGTGTCTACCACAAAATGCAAACATATGCAAAACGCAAACATCTTGTTGAAGGCTAGAGCTGTAATACTGACTGGTTTGCGATAGCAGGGAATGTGGTAACTCCAGGGAATCTGCAGGCAAACAACTTATGCTGCTTGCAAGAATGACTATGGTTGAGCAGAAAAATAATGTTTTTACTTCACCTTACATAACACAGCATTTTATGCATTTCACTGCTCTTCTACTCTTTGAGCATTATGGTTGCAGTTTACATTCACTAAACTGGTAGTAAAGTTGACATTTTTATCTTATCAAAAACCAGATGCAAAATTTATAAAAGGTTTCACTTGAGTTGTTTTTTCTTGTTTTAGAAGTTTCAGAATGTCACATCCGATCTTAATCCTTCCTGAGGGTTGTCTTGGAGTTTTATGACAGGATTAGATGCTAAAAGACCTAAACCTGATTTACTTTGTCTTTATACTGTATGTAGATCATGGAATGCAAGACTTCATCTAATGATAGGCCATTTTACACATTCATGTAGTATGTAATGGACTGGAGAGCATAATTCATACTAAAGCTGAATTATCCAATCTGTCACATTAATTTTAGAGATTTTAGTTTAATTGTGAATCTGTCTCTGCATTGGAAGTAGCATAATATCCTTTTCCTTATATTACTGAATAGGAGCTATTTTAGAACTTGTTTTCTTGATGTTTCCTGAGTATATTAATTTCAGTTTCAGTTTCTAGAGGTAGAGAACAATGCTTGAAATTTAAAGTAATTTCAAGCAGTCTGCAGTATCAGTAGACCACCGGTTATCAGCAAGACTCACATTCATGTACTCACAGTTAGTGGCAAGTGAATAATTGGCATACTTCCTACTCTGGGAACTGCCTCAAAAAAATCATATTCGGATTAACAAAATGATTTCTATGTGCAGCCTACTGTATGTGCTGACTCAGCTGGTTAAATCTGTTTCCCTAATATTTACCTTCAAGCTGTAAATACATTAAAGTGCATTATTTTATTTCTATTACTATGGTTTTTTGGGTTTAAAAATAAGAGTAGTATTTTTGGTCTTCAGATTTTGTGGTATGCTGGAGCTGAGAAGAAGTAAGGTAAGGTAAGTAATGGTAATTTGGAAAAAAAGTCTCTTTATATGGATTGTTTATGACTATGGAAGACCAATAGACGTGTAATGGGAACATCATGGACAGTCATCAGTGAGTGGCTGTGAATATGTAATTTAGCCCTAGCAGGACATTTGCAGGCAGTAAAAAAGTGAAAAAAAAACAGTTATTACATGTGTTGGCTCCAGTCAGCTACTCTTCCTTAGGATACATGAGGCTCAGCCAGGAATAATTATTTTAAAATAAGCATCTCTTTGACACCACTGGTCACAGCGCTACGTCAAACCTTTAAATCAAGGGGCGAAATTTAGAGATTTAGTCACCCGCTGCATATTATTTTTAATGCCTGCTGGTTGCTCGCACGTAGGTATGGTAACCAACAGCACAATGCAAGGAAACCGCCTGTGACTTGGCCTGTTCTGAAAGGATATGCTCACTAGAAACACAGCTGTCCACGCCAGCAGGCCCCATTGACGACACTGTGCGCACACTCTGCTGGGGGGGGGGTGGACGTGGCTCACAAAGTGTTTTTTCCAAGAAAAAATTAAAGTTAAGTTTACGACATCAGCATACTCACACACATAGGTGTATGAAAAGATACTGTATACACAAGTGTAATGAGAGATGTGAACTGTGTGGACCACATGTAAATTTGACCATGCAGAGCCCATTCTTCTGGACAAGAGGGGACTACAGTGGTTCAGCTGGCTTGGTGTGGTTTGGTGAATACAGTGACGTTGGCTTTACACCAGGCTACCTCTGCTGTATATTTTCTCTCTCAATGGAAAAGGTACTATACCTAATAAATCCATACTTGGTTGTAAAATGTGTTGTCTTTGAAGTCTATAATAAGCAAAATAAATGATAAGATCCCTTCTTCTTTCTTAAAGCTACCTGCATTGCAGTCACATGAACTCTAGAATTTCAGAAGGTACTTCTTCAGTCGTTTAGGGCGAGCTCCATAGTTCAGGGGTAGATGGGTGTATACAACAATACCACAATGCTCTCTGGTCTTATGGTATTAGCTATTTAAAACAATCAGTCACAAAAT